TTTGGCATTTTTTTTCAAAAATAAAAAGTATTTTGCACCTTGAAATAGTTCAGGGAATATCAAAATGCGTCTGACTTGCTATGTGCTGTGGCTGATTATCAGTTTGCCTCTTTTTAAGAAAAAAATCCCTTTTAATGCCTGCAGAGAGGCACCTTTCCAACGAGTTCTGGATTGTGAAATCTTGGTCACTGTAGACATACACAATTCCTACAATAATAAACAAAAATCACCTTGCTGGTAACAAATAACTACAGCTAGCTTTAGCTAGTGCTACAAAGGCAAGGTGAACTATAGGAGGAGTGCCTTGTTTTATTACACTTAAAGGTGCTATAGAAATACAAGGTGTTGCTATTCATTTCTTTCAGGGCTTTTCAACTGTTCCATTAGTTCGTGACTGATTCCTACCTCAATTCCATTATCCACCTTTCTATAACCAATATCCCTTAATTCAGTTTTGATGAAAGGCTTGATAGTGGGTGACACTGATGGCAACCCTCCTATGATGTCATATGGAGTTGAAGAGCAGAACAATTTGGGATCTTCGAAGGAATGAGACCTCATGTATGGTCTTCCTCAATGTCCCTGTAGTGATGTCTATTTGATTTAATGCAAACTTTATCAGTTGTTAACATGAAATAAACTGTACCATGCTAACTGAAACGCTCTAATTTGGCCAGGAAGTGGTTTACCCCGAGCACACGAGATTAAGCAAGTTCTGCTTAATTTTCGTGTTCAAGCGCAAAGTCCCACATAAGAGTAATGTGTAAAATTAAAGCACATGGCATTTGCATGTATTGAGATGATGGAAAATTGGTTAGCAGACAGGTAACAATTATTATTGATATTATTAAGCTGGAGAGGACTCTGATTTACCAGGCTGTTGCCGTGAATGGAGGGTTTGCGTTATAAGGAGAAGTTAAATAGGCTGGGACTTTTTCCACTGGAGTGTAGGAGGCTGAGGGGTGAACTTAGAGGTTTATAGAATCATGAGGGGTATAGATAAGGTGTCCTTTCTCTAGAGTGGGAGATTTCAAGACCTAGGGGCATATTTTTAAGGTGAGGGGAGAGATTTTAAAGACATGGGGGGAGGGGCTTTTTTGTTTAGAGGGTGGTTCACATGAAATAAATTTCCAGAGGAAGGGGTGGATGGCAGGTATGGTTACAATATTTAAAAGGCACTTAGATAAGTAGCTGAATAAAAAATGTTTGGAGGGATGTGGGCCAAGTGCAGGCAGGGGGAATTAGTTTAGTTTGCAATTATGGTTGGCATAGACTGGTTGGACCGAAGGGTCTGGTTCTGTGCCGTGTGACTCTGACTCGAAGTGTTTCCTATATTTGGAAATGGTGACAGCAACCCTCACCACAAGACAAAGCTCCTACAATGTAGTGAGCTGACACACCCCACACAACAATATGACAAAAATGTATTAATCTTGGCCTCAACTTTTGGTTGGTTTTGCAACATCCACAACCATGTTTTTGTGGGAGGGTCTATATTTTTGCTGTATGGGAACATGCTCAGTGCTGCCTTCTAACTTGAAGATAATTGTACAAGTGGTTTACTTTTGTGATTTGAATTTGTAATCGTGTACATTAACTTTTATCTTTTTGATCTTGTGTGGTCACAGCAGCTCCCCATCTCAAGAAACTTTTTCTATTTTGTGAAAAAATGGGCAAGCCCCAAGGGACTTCAGTTATTAAGGATAAATAGTAGCTGGAATTCATTTGGATAAAATAGAAGTGAATCACCCTGTCTTCTGATTTGTGGAATTTCTGCAAGTTTGAGGAGATGCATTTAAACGCCCTTGAGTTCCTTCCTTTTCAGTCTTCTGTCTAGTATGGCCAAATTAGCGACCGGCCATGATGTTATCAATACCTGCCATTTTTTAAAAAAAGACACCCTCTTAGGCCTATTTTCTCTCCCTGCAGTGAAGTAACTCTTCTTTACTGCACTGAGAACCAAGAAACATTCTGTCTGCATTGACAGGTTAAATGAAGTCCCTGAGGCAGATCTCTGCTGATGTCTGTTTAGGATTCATCATTTGGTCATTATTTTGTGAGCTTAGTCCAATATGTGGAAATATAGAATGTATGTTTTTTTTTTGTCCCTCCTATCTGATTGGTGAGGGAAATTTCCACTCAAAATGACAATGTGGCATGAGCCATGGTATGTATGGTGACAAAACAGGGTGAGAATGGAAAAAAAAAATGAGATTCCCGGTAGGATGAATAGCTAAGGTCTTTTTTTTCCCCCCAAGATAGGGGAGTCCAAAACTAGAGGGCATAGGTTTAAGGTGAGAGAGGAAAGATTTAAAAGGGATCTGAGGGGCAACTTTTTCACGCAGAAGGTGGTGCATATTTAGAATGAGCTGGCAGAGGAAGTGATGGAGGCAGATATCATTCAAAAGGCATCTGGATGAGTACATGAATAGGAAGGGTCAAGAGGGATATGGGCCAAATGCTGGCAAATGGGACTGGATTAATTTAGGATATCTGGTCGGCATAGACAAATTGGACAAAAGAGTCTGTTTCCGCGCTGTACAATTGACTCTGATCTTGATTTTAAAAATGTTTTTTTCCTCTTGAATAGTGACTTCAGAATCTTGCCCTTGAGTGGCGGTTCCTTTTATTTCCATTCATTTGCATATTATTAAAGCCCCAGCTTCCCCTGTTTACATCCCTCTGGCAATTCTCTTGACCACCAAGAAACTATATGGTGCAAGTTCCCAACAGACAAGACTGGTGCCTGCAGATCTGTCCTGGCCATCCTGACACTGCTGCTTATGCACAGCACTCCTGCATGCTCTATGGTCACCATCCTCTTTGACCTTACATCCACGTAATTCCACATCAGCCAACCACATCATGATGCGTACTATTGGAACAACTCAGCCACTGCTTCAGTTCTTGAACATGTTACTTTGGAGCTGTTGAATACCTGAAGGAATGCATGTTTTCACCAGTCATGTTTTGTGTGTAGGGACAGCCATGAATTTTGTGCATCTACACGGGATGCTTTAGTGCTGACATGGATGCTCATCCTATAGCTCTTAGCTTGCTTTCTTATTGCTCACTAAGTTACAGGCTGCAAGCCTTTGTATGGATTTCATTGCTTTTTAATGATTTGGGTCTTGAGTGCTCAGTTACAGGCACCTCTGCGGTTTGGCTTTTTAGCTTGGAGGGAGAGGCAATTAGCTCATGACAGATGGGATGAGGCACTGAAGAGTCAATGTTTCAGTCAGAGAGTATGGCACTGTGCTACATTAATTCAGTGCTGCAGCAGCGTATGTGGCAAACACTACATGAGCAAGTGATGTCTGAAAGTCAAAGGAGAAAGAGTTCTTGGAGTGAAGGGAGACTCCAATCAATTAGGGGATACTGTCATAGACAGTTGAGGGGCTCACCTAATTACACCTATGGTTGGTCCTGCAGCCTGTCCAGGAATTGCAGGTAGGTCAGCTGGAATGCTGCAGAGTGCAAAAAGGATTAGTAATTTGCAAGGATGAGAGGCATTGAATGGACATAGAACATGTTGTTAGAGCTGGTGTCCATCAGGCTTGAAACGTGTCTAGTGGCAGAGTTACTGAGTACTGGCCTTTTTTTTTTTTTAAAAGTGTGAGGTAGCAGAGAGGAGGTAGTGGCGTTTGCCCTTGAGAAACACATTCGATCTTGCAGCACTGCTGATTTGTCTCCTTTTAGACTCAGCGGCGTGAATCAGTGCTGAATTATTTCTGACCAGGCTAGCTGCTCTGTTGGCATGCTGGTAGTGGTGTATATTTAATTTTGTCGTCCCAACTGTGCCTCCTTGCTTTGACCAATGCAAACTTTGCTAAATTTATCTACATTAATAACAGAACTGCAGGAAAATGATATTGATTTGGGTAGAAACAGGGATTTAAACACTGAAGAATTTTCTTGGAGCTGTCTGAGAAATGGGAGGCCCTCATTCAATGTTACCAGTTGGTTGGGATATCTATTTCTAACTTTTTTTAATATTCAGTCTGGAGATATGAGCGTGGTTGGTGAACCTGATTCTTGTGTAAAACAGTATGACCTGCCAAGTCAGTCAGTAGTTGAATATTGACCTTGGTGTAGGACATATGTCTGCTGATTTTGGTTGGATGAACTGTATTCTGGGAAATTTTTGTCTAACAATTTCTATCTGGCCTATCTGGTACTCCTGCCATTAGGCAATAATAGTGGTTGTAATATCTACAATGTGTGCATCAGAAATCTCACTTTTCATTGTGTGGGTTTTATACAGCATGCATTTGCCAAGGACCAAAGCAAAACATGAAAAGAGCGTGTCCACATAGTTTTCCTCTTGCGTGCCCTACTGAATTTATTGTTGACGATCACCTATTATGAATCCTAGTTTTGGACTTTGCTACAAGTGAAAATATCTTTTCCTATAATCATCATCTAATTGTTAAGATGATTATCCGGCCTGTTTGGTTTTTAATTTGTATGGGTTCTTCACCATCACCGCCTCCCCACCCCCCGCCCCCCACCCCCCACCGACCCCGTGCTGTTTTCTTCAGTTAATTTTCTTTTCATGTAAGGAGAATACATTCTAGTTGTGTCCTGTGTTTCCTGTTGATTCATATTCCGTAATACTTCATTTTATTTTAAGTCACTGGCTTTAATTGTACTTCAAAAATATTGGGCAGATAGAAATGGGGTCTGGTGAGAAGGGAGGTGTGATAGTGTTTTATTTTTAACAGTTCTCTTCATTTTAAAACATTTCTTTTACTGACCCAGATAGGAGCAATGAAAATGTTCTACTAAATTCGTTCATTCCCAGTTCATTTTGATAAATGGTCAAATGTGGACTGCATGACACATTTTGAAGACACCGGGTTGGAGGGGGGTAGGGGTGTGACAAAATGGGAGTGCCTAACAGACAGCAGAAGCTATTTCAGATGGCTGGGAATACTGTGAAAATTTCTTGTGAAAGCCTAATCTCATTTCCCCCGACACACTCTCTTTCACTCTCGCTCTCTCTCCCATTGGTACTTCATCCTTGTTTCCACATCCATTTTAAGATGTTCCTGTCAGAAGGTTGAAACAGAGTCAGTACAGTACAAACAGACTTGATTCAGGATCAAAAGTAAGAGAAACTTGCATCTCTAATTTTATTCTAGTCTTTACTTGATGGCATTTGATCAATTCTATATTGTAGTTTCTTTACATTTTTGAATTTATCTTGTCCAGTTGGTCAGTGCAAGTTAGCACCTCAACCATGTAAAGTCCTTTCTCTCCACTGTGTATCTGCAAGGACAGTCAAATAAAGCAAGGAAATGAAGCCTCTCTCCCTACTGGAGTACTTACTACTTTTTCTTCTTCCTGCATATGTTTCCTTGCTTCTCTCCCTGCCTGAATTTTTGTTTTCTGCTCTGTCCTCGTGCTGTCAAATTTCCCCCTCCCATTACTTCTGTCAGCCAATCGTCATTTCAGTTTTACTTGATTCTTTGTTTCAGCATTTGTCATTTGTATTCCAAAGTTTGCAAAGTATTAGCAACTGAATTTGTGAAATGTATAATCAGTAAAAGCAAATGTGTACTAAAATTCTGAAACTAACGTGTGGGGTCTAAGTCTCATGCATTGTGGCTTGTGCATCTATAAATTAGTGTTTTAATACATTCAACAAATCTTGTGGTCGGATAATTATAGCTTTTTGTAATGGTAGTATCTCCTATGTTCCATGACTGGGAGGTAGGAATCTGTTTTCTTCCTCTTTCTCATTATCCTTCCTCTGTTTTTGTTTGTTCTCTCCCATCTGCCTCACTCAGTCCTGCAGGTAGGAATAAGTCTCACTAGTAGCCATTCCCACTGCTAAGTCAGAGTTTTTGAAAACCACTCCAGGTGGTCTCTACAAATGGAGGGCAGAGCTCCAGGCTTGAATTCTGGATTGACATCTCATCGTTGGTTTTGGGGTTCTCTTGCTCTCTCATTCTCCATCCCCTCTGCTTCAATTACAAACTTCGGCAGGCTTACCTATTTGGTGCTCGATATAGGTGCCTGGCAGGTTTTATAGCATGATTGTGGCTAATCTCTAGATTAGCATTCTTATATATTCATCCATGTCTCCAGTTCATTCCTTATTCTTCCCTTGTGCCACAACCTCCCATCTTCCAATGCTTGAGAATTATGAGCATATTGTTGGTGAGTTGACTCAGATTGAAGTAACTGGGAAGTTGTCACTCTTCTCTGCAACAGTGTAATTTCATATTCTGTCAAAAGAAAAGTTGCACTTTTCTATTGTGCCTTTCAAAACCTTGGCACGTCACAAAAATATTCCACAGCCACATTTTGTAGTAAATGTAATGTTGAAAATGGGACAAGATTTCTTCATAGATCCTACATACACAAAGTAAATAATAAACCAACACTTATGATGTTGGTCAAGGCATAAATGTTGATCAAGATATAGGGAAAAACTTCTTGGCTCTTCCAAATGTTGCCATGGGATTTTTTATTGGCATCGGAGGGGCTGGAAGCTGCCCTGTTTTATTGTGTTTTGCCTAAAAATGGCACTTCCAGTACAACATTCCCTCCCTTATTTACTAGAGCATTTTAAATTGGACTGAACCAGTTACTTCCTACTTGGACTAAAGTGCTGCTAATCAAGCCACAGTTAATAACTAACTGAATAGTCAAGAACTGTACATGAAGTAATAAAATATCTGGACACAGCTTTTTCTTTAAATCAATGTCTATGTAAAGTAGAGGAAATGGCAATGAGAGAGATCTTTAGGTGTTCAGGGCTCTTTAAATGCTCTTGTGGTGAATGTGTCCTGAATAGAAATGGTATCCTGCAGTGCTGGCAAACTGCCACCTTGTGAAATCAGCAAAAAGTGGAGCCTCCTGTCTAAATTTAATGCAGCTAATGGCTCATCTCGGCTGATTGTTAATCCTCTGACCGGTGCCAAGAGTTAGCTGCAGGTTGACTACGGGTGAGGACTGCATTCAGCACTGCACATTGCGACGTGCACCTTTTTCTGTACAGACTCCGATGAAGAAAACCTCCAATGACTTGGGTTGATCAGAGTTACTGCTCTGGATGAGGAAATTCCATGAAGGGTTTTTTCTTTTCTGTTTTTCTTGGAGTGAAAATTGAAGATGTGCTAATGAACTGGAATCACAAAGCAATCTTGAAGTTTAAGCAATACAGACTTAAATCATTGCATGGAGGCCAGCCCACCGGGTAAGTAGTCATGTGTGTGTGCCTGTGTTGTGCTTTTTTTAATCATTCTGTTTTGAGCAGATGAACACGATCTCTAATCTGATTTCCTTTTTAAAGGTTTGCAGTGAGCTGTCAAGTAGCAGCAGCTGCCTTGGGCTTGCACCCACCCTGAATAATTGCCCTTTTTCTAAGGTTTATTATCCAGCTGATGAATGGCTTGTTCCATGGCTGAATGCTGAAGAGGTATGATGCATAGCGGCTGGATTTTAGAAGGTTTATTTTTTTTTTCTGTGAGACATCCATAATTTGAAGGAGCAATTTTTGTCTAGAGCATAATGCAAAAAGCAGTATAAGCAGTCATTTAGGCACAGAACCAGATAATCAGGGTTTATTTGTTGGGAGCTGTCTGCCTTTTATGTATGAATATATAAAAGTGACCATCTAACTAGATGGTCTTCTTGACTCTGATTCTATTCTTGGCTTTGTTTCTAGTCGTCAATGTTCACCAATTATAGATAGAAACCATCTTATAACTGTTGAAGCCAAGTTGAGATTGACATTTCCATTAACCCAATTTCTTTCCTAATGGAGAGCCCATTTCCCCACTCCACTCAAATCAAATGTTACGCTTCTGTGGGGAAGCTCTCAACATTTTCACCTTCTGTCTGATTTTCATTATTTATGGAGAAATTTTCTTTTGACTTTTTAAACTACTTTAATTCACCTTGTCAAGGAAGTGCGCAGATTACAAAAGATTGGCTTGTTGAAAAAATCACAACTTTCAGACTGAGTTAAAGGAGGCTGAGTAAGAGGTTCACCCATGTGCATCTTTTTTTTTGGAAGGTGTATCACTAGGTGTTATATCTGGGTAGCACTCTCTTGTCTCTGCATCAAAATGTCTTAGATTCAAATCCCATTTCTGGAAATTTAGAATGTTCCAATAGAACATTCTGTAGAAGTGACTTGACAGTTTGTGCTTCAACGTGAGGATTGCCCAACTGATTTGTTAATATCCCTGATCACCCTGATAAATTTATGCTGTAGCTCTCCAAATGTTTGTGACACTGTGGGTCACCAGATCTCATTAAAGCTTCTGACTCTTTCAAGGGATTAAAAATCTTTCACTTTCTCAATTGTCTGGTTTCAGAGTTCCATCACAAATCTCCGACTTGGATTGTCTGAATGACTGCTCACATCTTGGTAGTTAATTTCTTTTCTCCCGAGACAGGACTTGCGGGGAGCACTGAAACTACTCCCAAGCATCTAATTACTAGCACAATTGCAGCTTTTATCACTTGAGCTGCTGAATTTCTCTGAGCATCAATCTTTCTCGGTTACATTCAAGCAAATACAACTTGTGGGCTTCCTTCATTCCACAATCCACTGCAATGAGCTATTGATGATTCCCATGGATTTATTTCCAGCCCTAGATTTCTCGAAGGCTTGGAGGTGCCACTCTCTCTGGGACCTCTCTGCAGTTTTAACTGCCTGAAGTGTGTTAGTAGCAGCACTTGGCTTCAGCATTCTCCCAGCCCCAACTGTAAGCAACTACTGCTCCCAGCAAACACACCCAGATATATTGAAACCAGAGAAACACCTTAAGCTCCGCCGATGCTTTGCTTTGTGCTGTCCTGAACCTAACCTTTTGGGGTTTACTACCCCAATTTTTTGAATTACTGCTTTGATCTGTTAACAGTAAGCTTTACAACCTTTTCGGGGTTTACTCAATGCTTCTTAAACTAATTTTAGCTCTAATTCTGTATTCTGATTTTACCACTTTCATAGTTGTTGAATCTTTAAATGCAATATAACCTTTTTTAAATGTAATTAACTTAAATGTTTCATTCAATTGTTTATCCCACTTTCTACAATTAAACTTTCATTCCTAAAACTAAAATCTTTCGCTAAAACATATTAATCATGAACTAGATATCGTTGCAAATATCACCTGGTAGATGAAATCTTTTATGACTCGCAAATGGGGATGGTTTTAGTAAATGTGTGGTGGGACTGATTATTTCCAAGACGTGTTTAAGTCAGCTGGAACTGTGGCTATTGGAAGAATTGCTCATGGGGATTGTTAAATGTAGGCTTTATATCTTCTATAAATTGGGACCATTTGAAACTGTTTGAATTGTTTGCGGGGAACATAAAAGAGAATCAACCCCACTGCTATCTCGGCAGCATCTCTTTGGAACCCTAAGATGTAGGTCATCCTTTACGATTTGCTGGATTTTAGTTCCTTTTAACATCTTTGCTCTAATTAGCTCCTGAGAATGTAACTTGTCTTTATACTGTGAAAACACACACAGTATGTGTTCAGTGCTTTGTCTCCTCATTTTTCTTGATAATTTCTCCTGTCCCTGCTTCAAAGGGACCAATGCCCTTAGCTGTTTTAGCTACTCTCTTCTTTTCTTTTTTGTATACTTGGAGATTAAAACCTTTTTATATTCTTGGCTGGTTTAGCTTCATTCTACTGTTTGCTTTTTATCATTTTTGGTGGCCCCTTGATTTCGGCAGTGCTGCCAATCCTCTGTTTTTTTTTCTCTTACTGCTCTTTACAACAATGAGGCTCTCTTTAAATCTATTGTTATTCTTAACTTCCTGAAGGAGGCATGAACGTTTTGCTGAGTTTGCTTTAAGAGAACATTTTTGATTGTGAAATTTTTATTAAGGTTCTGCTTTATTTTTAGTCTATTTATCCATTCAGCATTAGCTACTTTTTTCTCCTTGCCCCTCCATACATTTATAATTGACATTAATAAGTTTAGATTCCTGGTCAATTGTCATGTTACTTTCAGAATTCTGATCACTATTTCTTTTGTTATGACAATATCGACTAACCCTGCCTCATTACACCATATTAGATAGAAGTAATTTTTTCCCTACTTGGTTCCATGATCTATTGCTCCAGGAACCTGCTA